AGAAATAAGTAATTGTGCAAAATTTAGAAGACATAAACTAAACTTACTAACGTAGTTATGGAGGAATGAAAATACAAGGATTTGTATGAAATTCTTTACTGAGGCCTTGGTGGCCTCGTTTAGGTGTTTTTGTGCATCTTCCAACCCTTATAACTTCCAGAGGATTTAATATTTTTCTTTGAAACTTTCAGAGCTTATCTTTAGCTTTGATATCTATAATTTGAGATTTTTCTTTCATTGTCAACATTATGAATTTTTAAATTATTATTTTTAAATTCATTGTTAAAACAATAATATGCTAATTAGTGTCGGCCATTGTGAAGTCGTGTATGTATCTTAAATGATTATCAAGGAGGAAAATTAATATTCACAACACTAAGAACAAACTTTAAAGATTAGTGTGTATGCGTGAAACACGTCTTTGGGGCATTTAATGACTTCTCCAGGAAAATAAAGCTGCATTTATTTTGCGAGTGTATACATAATTATTGTGCTTATTGCAGTAAAACTTATTGTGCTTATTGCAGTAAAACTTTTATGTTTATTTTGTTTTCAAGGCACTTGCAAGTTCTCCTGTTTAAGAAAATGAAGAGCAAACTAGTAACCTTGTGTATGTTTTGCTATGGTTTCACCTTTTCGATCCCAAGAATCATTCTGTTTATGGCAACAGAAGACATCATGTCAGGAACTCTAATCCAGTCATCTGTGGTGATGATACTCATAGGCTGTGCTGATGCAATAAGTACCGTATGTTTCCCATTGATAATTAGGAAGATATCATTTCCTTGGGCATTTGTTCTGTTTACCATACTATGGCTCATTTCCTATCTTCTAATTGTCATTGCCGAAGATCCCAAAATCCGTCTTATAGGAGTGGCCACTTATGGTACCGCGAATGCGCTAGCAAATGTTTGTATAATATATTTGGCTGCTTACTTCGAGGAAATAGAAAAGTGCATAAGTGCATATTCAGCTGGTTCAACATCCTCGGCTATCTTGGTGGGATTCCTTTACACAGGTAGGAAATACTTCGTGCTCCCAGCCCAGCGAGTGTGTTGCTTGTTAACCAGCACTTTTTTCGTTACAGGATCCACTGTTTGGTTATGCCTTTCTCCTAGATTAACAACGATCATTTGTTTTCCGCTTGGATTATTGATAATTTTTTTCTATGCAATTCTGAACCACGGTCCATTGAAAAAGTATCAGATAACTGGACCTGGAGAATACAAACCGTTACCTATTGATGAATCAAACAATCATATGACAATCTCTCTAATGCTGTTGAAAATTTTTCCAGCAATGGGAAGCCTATTCGTTAGTTACTTTGCATATTTTCTGGCAGCTAATTCAGTRCTTACYACTCTGGCTTTCCCGTCYGCACCATTCCGCGCCCGTGATCAYTACCAATACTACAGAYTTGCAGGTGACATAGGAACATTTGTAGGTGGCATGGAGATAATGATGGTCTCGTACGTTTGTCCCTGCTGGAAAAACAACACTTCACCACGTTACTCTACAACATCCATTCTTCTTCTAACAAGTGTTGCACTTCTGATATTTGTGTTCTTTGCTGCGTGGTATCGCTTAGTTCCAAGTGTTTACATTATTATAGTGATAATTTTTATTCAAGGTGTGTTATATGGCTCCATCGCTGTCAGGCTTCTTGTTCATGTTGGTGAAATGTTCGAGAAGAAAAATGAAAAGGGTACTGCAATAAGCATCTCTACACTCGGTGTAGGATTGGGTCGTGCAATAGCTGGATTCCTAGGTGTTTTCATCGAGGAAAGTATAAGACAGCATTGCACAAACGAGCTGTTGATGGGAACCTTTTGTTTAGCAAGATTTCCTTCGATCGTCGGCTGGGACAGGAACATGCAGTGTTCATAGAATCAACAAATTAGAGTAAATGTCCTTGTGTTATTTTTATTGTGTCGGACACAATCAATTGTTTAAGCTTTTCTGTTTTTAAATCTGAATACGTGTAATAATCTGAAGAAATGAGCTCCTCGTTTGTCTGTTTATTGATTCTGACAACGATGATAGTTACATACTACGATATAAAAATATGAATTACTAACTAGAATGTACWTGAAATAACAATAATACACGAGTAGTACTTACAAGAGTGTTGGAAAGTCCATACTAAAGAATAATAAACGACTATGAGAACAGGAACTAGCGAATTTGCTACGTAGAAACTAAATATAGGCMAACATGGCCGAACGAGTTATACTAACGTCTGAGTGTTCAATCCTGCCGGTCAGCGGCAGGGTCAGCGGTTACTCTGCATAATCCAATCGCAAATTTGTCTAGGCAGCTCTCACCATGCTAAATTTCAATGTTGATAACAATATTCGTTGCCTGAGAGATACTTGGCCGTCGTATGTATCTTGAATGATTATTTGGCGGAAAATTAATATTCACAACACTAAGCACAAACTTTAAATATTAGTGTGTATGCGTAAAACACGTCTTTAGGGCATTTAATGGCTTCTCCAGGAAAATTAAAGCCCATTTATTTTGTGAGTCTATACATTCTATTACGCTCAACTCATTCTTTCGTTATTGATGACTTGATCCGTTGGCAAGTGTGATTCAATTAAACACGAGAAATGTCTTGATTGGGGAAATGTCTTTCAATTTAGTTTAAGGGGTGGTTGGGAGGGGTTAGTTAGTCCCTATAATACTATAATACTACAGAATGAAATTTAATATCAAGCCTGCTTCAATAATGAATATTTCAAGGCTAGAAGCACAAAATCAAGAATCATGTACGAGGAATATCAAACTAAAGAGACTTAAAGCTATTTTACGGTAAAGAAAAAATAACATACGTAAGATCTTGATGTGGCTACTTCATACCTAAAAACCAACCAACAGATAGATTTGGCTGTTGAAATTTATGATCAATGATATAAAAGTGTTATAGAAATCTTTTTACATGAACAAAATGTACTAGCATGTTACACTGCATGTCAGAAAACAGATTGCAATTTGTTGGTGAAAAGATAAAAAAAAAAAATCATCAAAATATATTTGAATCTTATATATTTCAATCTTTGATGTATTCAAACTGATACACCAACATGTGGCCCTATGAATGTCATGGAACCCCCCACAGATAAGTTGAACTGCATGGCTGGTCACGTAGAAATTGCTGTAGAAAACAAAGGATTTTATTCAAAATTGCATTTTGTTTCGGTTATATTCTAATAGTTTTCTCTCTGTTTCGGTTTTTGTCCCCAAGGGGGCGGAGATTTGATTTCCCATTCTCCCCCACGATGTGGGGTATTAACCAACATTTGCCAAGTCCATTTTTCAAATGCCCCACATATCCCCACCCTGTCCCGGGTTTGGGTGTGGAAGGGGGGGGGGGGGGGAGAGGGAGGGGGGGGGTCCTTTGACTAGTGCATAAAAGCTATTGTTGAAGAGTCCAATGGTTTCGGAGAGCACAATCCGAGATATTTTTTTCAAGCTTTTTGCTGCGATAAACCTATATATTCTTTTAAAAAAATGCCGTATTCGTGCTCTTTTTCGGCCTCTTCATTTATAACATATCAAAAGATCTAATCTAAGACATCTGAGCAAATGTCACCCGATGTACTATATGGCAATAAGTTTGATATGACAACTAAATAGCACTATTTAGTTGGTACAGTTGCACTCAACCGTCTTGTTTCAGGTACGCTTTTAGTATAAATTAATTAGTACTCCTTAGATTTTGTACAGTTGCACAGTGTTTATCTGTGATCACTCTACCAAAATCATGAAAAAGCGCTTACCAAATAGTGCTATACAGTGTAATTCATATAGTTTTGAACAATTTGGAGCTATTTGATAACTAACGTTTTTCCTAGATTTAGTCTTTGTACTCTATCGTATAGTAAACAATCATGTAAAGTCACACGTTCACTGGCGAATAAATYCTACTTATTCTTAAAAATATCCTTTCGTTTTTACTTGTAGAATCAGTGCACAGAAATGAATATTCAAAGTCTGTTAAACATACATGYGTAAGCCTTCACTCTGTATTTAATCTCACTTCAGGTCTTAGTAACGCGGCGCTGCTCTCAGTCCTTTGTAAAATCTTAAGATTAGAATCATCCACTCTTAAGCTAATGCTAGACGATGCAATCTTGAGTTCGCATCAGAAGCTAACAATGGTTTTTAGATTCTACTTAAAGGGTCTTTGCTTCCGTCTCAACGATAAACAATGTAGCTGGATTGACACAGGGAATCCATCCCAACACTTTTGTAAACCCAATATTTATTTAGAATTGTTTCTAATCAAAATATTTTAAAAAGGATGCAGCGCTTTTGGAACACAAAGTAAACTTCATCAATGTTTAATGTATCAATTTGTTATCCAAATCTTTARGAAGAACTAGCTGGATTCGCCTTTTAAAATTACTCTGATTTGGAGAGCTGAGTTCAAACGTCACTTGAATTGTAGCATACTGGCTTTTAAAATTTAATTTTCCGTTTCTTCAAACAATTCACAAGCTAAGCGTATTAAAAGGCTTTTTGAATAGCTGACGAGATGCTGACGTAAAGTTAGACGCGGTGACATCATTGATTAGGTGCGTGACGTTCATTTTTTCGTATATATATTTTTTGTGTATGTTTTTATGTGATWTGCCGATAAGATTCATCTATCTTATATTCTAGTTATTACTTCAGCAAAGGAGTCATTCGACAGCATAGACGCGACGACTGCTTTTAAAAGCCCTTCAGATCAATGGTCAAACGTAATTCTATTGAAATTTTGACGTGCACTGTTGTCATACATTTACCAAGTATTTTCATCKCTCCATCTTTCGTGAGCAGTACATCCGCTTGATGCGGTTCTGCAACCAATAGCCGCAGTAAGCAAATGTTTGGATATCTTCGGTTTCCCACGTATTCTATGCATTAAGCGAGACCTGACTACAAACAAGAGTGAGAGCTGATATCTTCTACGTGAGTACATATTGGACGTTGTTTCTATTCTAAGTTTCTGAGTCATCCAAGTATCTTTTAGACTAATTATTTTTATCTTTTCGGAAACCAAGGGCATTCGATACTTTTTCATAAGTAAAAACAAGTAGCCGATTCGAAGCGCTATATATACACTTYTCGTTCTCCAGAAAGCACTCAAAAACATCTTGCCCACGAGGAAGCAARGAGAAAAGCTTACTACAAGGTAACTTGAACAATCCTATTTTTGAATTTTTGAAATGATAATGAATTCATTGTAGTTTGAGAATGTGAGCAATGCACCTGCCAATGTTGTGGCATTTCTTCTTGAATTTCCCCCAATTTCGAGCTGCATGCTGACGGCCTAGATATGGAAAACGCGACAACATTGGAAATATTTGTAAAAACATGACAAGCAGAGCTTGACGTTTATCAAAATTTTCCATGAGAATATGTTTGATATTAAATGTACGATCGTGGAAATACTCAAAGGAAGAAATTCGACACTGAAGCTTTTGATAAGTAGTCGACTTAGATATCTTTTGAATTTTTCATGATCTTAAATTCTAATATAACAGTCAGTTGTTTTTTTTTTTTCTAAGTGTCTAGTGAGAAGACTTATTTTTCCGACATTGATTGACAAGGAGATTGTTTCTTCGAGCATCCGGTCGTTCAACAAAAGCGTAGCATGCCTTCAAACAAGCCTTAAAATGATTTTTGAATTGAATTGAAAAAAAATCCCATTAGAAGTATTATGTGACTTAGAACATGATACCACTTCTTGTCCATCGTACACGTGCTGGGTACTTCCTTGATTGTTAAGAGGTGTGGACGGGACTTTTGGATTTAAATATGTTATCATGCAATCATTTATATCATGCGCTTCTAGTATGTCTACTGCTAATTTTATTCATGTCGAGATATTGAATTGTTTGAATCTAATCTGATGATATTTCATCCAAACTTTAAAATATTAGTTAAGTTGTCAAGGAGTTCCACAGGAATCCATACTGGGTCCTACTTTATTTATTATCTAAAGCTTAACTTCGTCTGTTATAAATGGAGCACCGCATGGAACGAATGTAGGTCCTACAATGTTTTGAATAATATTTCAACTTAAACAAATTAATTTCATGATTGATTGAGAAGTATGCATCATCATCAGTATCATTATCATAATGTTTTCAATTTAGCCTCTTCGAAACGATCTTCAAGGAATTAGAAAGTCGTTTCTCTTCTCTTGTGGCGGCTGCTAAGAATTCACAAGTTGATTATTGATTAAGAAGTATACATCATCTTCATCATCATCATCACCATAATCATCATCATCATCATATTCATGTTCAATTAAACCTTACAGGCCTTCTTCCTCGAAATGTCCTCCAAGCAATTACAGAAAATCGTTTCTCGTCGCTTCTCTTCTTTTGTGGCGGTTGCCAAGAATTTGCAATTTCATTATTCATTGAGAAGTATACATCTCATATTATTATCATCATTATCATCATTATGTTTTTCAATTTAGCCTAAGGCCATCTTCCTCGAAACGCCCGCTTCAAAGAATTATAGAAAGTCGTTTCTCTTCATTATAATTCCTCTAGTCTGTAGTATGCCAACGTCAAGTGCACTTTCGATTTTTGCTCCACAGTCTACCTTAGCTTGCATGTCTCCAGATAACATTTGCTTTTGAACATGATATGTGCATTATGTACCAGGTGTTAAGGTGTCATTTGATGCAGGAGTCACGCAAAAGGTATGATATTAGTGCAAGTCGACTCATCGAGTTCCCTGAATGCCATGTATAATAAAACTTTAGAGGGCAGCMAGCGAGTTTCCCATTTGGGTGTCATAATCCAAGGTCTCTCTTTGAAAATGACAATGTCTTAAAGGCCATTGAAGGCTCCCACGAGAGCGTATATATACTTAAATTCAAAACGGCAACATGAAAACATTTGGAGAAGTCAACCCCTTTTAAAACTTCGAATAGGTTTTGTTGGGTGTTGTTCGCTTTGCTATGACAGTAAATTTGAATCAATGGACTCCATCTGAAATGTCACACCGATTCCGAAGATGGCAGCGAATGAAAATTTGAGAAATAAAACARAAGCCTTGAATTGGTCAAGATGGGAGTTACACAAGGAATCATAGTCGACCCGATGTTTTTCTAAAGCACCATTTGTGATGATTTACTCTATTGCAGGGGTATCAGTCCATTGATTGCACAGAAGATAACAAGATGTACTTATCTTATGTCGATCCCACACAAAATAATTA